CCGGACGCTGGTTCTCCGCGGTTCCCGCCCGGCCGCGAGGTGGGAGCCCTCACCGCCTGTCCGCCGCGGGAGACGGCCCCGCAGAGGGCTCGGCGGTCACTCCCCAGAAGCGGACGCTTCGCATGCACAGTTCTTTGGGGTTGATTTCTACCGTAGCCCAAATGTCACAGGAACGATGATGAACGATGATGAACTGTCACTGCGCCCTTGCTGTGCCGTAGACGCTGGGTGGGTGCTCGTGTTATGCCCAGCTGGCAGACCAGCCTCCAGATTGGCAGTGATTAAATTGTCCATTGTCATTTGGGCTGTAAGTGTTGGAGCCAGCATTCATTCCCCACCACCGCGCCAGAGCTCTTGGTGTAAAATTCTGTTTTATTGCACTTAGCATGTTGTATGTGATTTTTGTCTTTATTTTTTTCTTTCTTTTTGTTTTGTTTTTGTTTTTGTTTTGCAGAGAGGGAGGCCCTGGGGATTGAATCCCGGGACACCTTTACCCCAGTCCTTTTACTTCGAGAAAGTGTCTCCAAATTTCTGAGGCTCTTGCTAAATTGCTGAGACTGGCCTCGAACTTGGGATCTTCCTGCCACAGCCTCCCAAGTCACCTGGATATCAGGCGTGGGTTACCACACCTGGCCGCATCCTAATTTCCTGGTAAAATTAGTACTAGTTGTCCTGGGAGTGACTCCATGGGAGAGCACTTGCCCAGCATACCTGGGACCCTGGGTTCACACCTGTGAAAATGAGAGAATGAGGCGTGTTAGCATCTGAATTGAAGCAAGGATTGGGACCTGTTGATCCACAGTGCTTAGCACAGGCCTGGAGAGCCCTGAATGTTCATGTCCTTAGTGATCAATGAGAACTATGTTTCCATAAACTGGATCTACAGGGAAGAACTGGGTTGCTTTGACCAGAGAGGACAGATCACATCCCCATCCTCAGGGAGAATCCTCATGTATGGAGGTAGCTGACCTTGTCTCACAGACAGCTGATTAGTCATTCAAATAATGATGGGTTCCAGAATCTGTACTGCAGATCTTTTTCTATTTTTACCCTTTCTTTTGAGTTTTTCCCCCCCTACCCTTGCCAAGAAATGTCCGTCCATTCTAGAGTGTATTGGAGAGAACATGGCTGCTATCATACTTTTTCACGTCTAAATCAGTGCTTCATCTTTCCAGGCTGTGTGGCTCCTGGAAGACGGGCCACGGACCCTGTCTGCTCCTCTATATGCAGCAGGCACAGCCTGGCAAGAGGTGGGCACAGCTTCCCATTGTGTCCTCCCAGGCGTGGGGGAACAATGTGCTTCTTCATTCTGTTCACGTTTTTGCCAGTTGGGCAGACACCTCAAATGACTCACATTCTGGAGCATTTTTTTAATGACAGTAATTATTCAGGTCTCTAGATCCAGGACTCTCAGCTTGTTTCCGGGGACTGAACCCAAGGCCTTGTGCCTGTGAGGCAAGCGCTCTACCATCTGTGCTGTGTCCCCAACCCCAACTGTTTCTTCTTTTTTATGATTAGAGAATAAGGCTTGAGGCTGGGATTGTGGCTCAGCGGTGGAGCGTTCACCTGGCACAGGCGAGGCACTGGGTTCGATCCTTAGCACCACATATAAGTAAATAAATAAAGGTCACTCAACAACTAAAAAAATATTAAAAAAAAAAAAAAGAATAAGGCTTGACGAAGACTCTCTCCCGAATATTCCCCTTTCAACTTAAGGAGCTGTCTTGGATGGCTTTAAAGTCACCATTCACATGTCTCTTATCCCTTGGGGGGGGGGAAATATACATTTTTCTTAAATGTAAACATTGCTTAAAATTCCTCTTTGTGGCTTGTCCTTGGGATGGTTCCCATGTAGCAATATTCATATTTCCCTTATAAATCAACTGTCACACGTTCTCTTCCCACCACATAACACACTTTCAGTCTGCAGAAAATGGTGTTTAGGGAGGCTGAGGCAGGAGATAGAAAGTCCAGAGCCAGTGTCAGCAGCTTATCAAGGGCACTGTCTCTAAATAAAAGGGAGGAGGGCAGGGATGTGGTTCAGTGGTTAAGCACCCCGGGGATTCAATCCCCAGTACCAAAAAAGAAAAAAAAAAAAGAATGGTATGTACTTCCTTCTCCTTCCATGACTCTTCTCCAAAGCCCCTGCTCCACAAGAGGCCCCCTAGAGCTGAGGGGACTCGGAGCCTGTCCCTGATGTGTTGGAATGCCAGGAGAGCCTGGGGAGGAGATGATCTCT